AATTAAAATTTAAGATAGCAAAATTCTTATTTCTTTGATTCTATATTGTGTCACTTTGCTCTTGTGCTGAATAAGTAGGTATTCCTAATAACAGTAGCATAATATTTGCTTTATCTTTCAAATGTACAAATAATAGTTTCAAAAACCATACCAATATTATTCCTAACAATAAGACTACTGATTAGATTGTCTCTCTCACTGAAACAGTCCACTTAAAATCTTGTAATCTCAGGTCATTTGAAACCATTTTTTTCTTTAGTAGTTATATCATTTCTTTGATGTATAGCTAGGCTTATTTGTTTTGGTTTTTAGTTTTAGAATTTTGAATTTAACCTGTTTCTGTTTGGTAAAATAGGTTATTCAGAAGTCAATACTATATAACAAATCACATTAAAAATAACATAAATTTCTTCCCTGTTTTGTTTTCCCCATCCTGTTTATTTTCTCCATCCTTCTATATGTAATCATTTTATTAGTTTTTATTGTATACTTAAACATTTCTTTTTTGAAAGCCAAATTATATATATACATATCCATAAGTATAATTTGTTTTATATATAAATATATATAATACACATATATAGCTAACACCATACTGATTCCTATGGATATTTTCCTAGTTATTGGATATAATTAGACCAGGTATCTTTAACAACTGGAAACTTCTCCTCTTCTGACTCCTGATCTTTGAGGTAAGGTAAGAATAGGAGAGATTATAGGAAAGCTATTGAAAATTGCATTCTGCTTATATTCTTTGCCATGACTATGTATTTGTTGTATAATAAGATACAGATTAGTATTTAAATTATTTAAAAATGTTTAAATATTACTTCACTTGATTAATATTAATATTAATATTAAACCAAATTGAATAAATAATCTCATACACATATGAGAAGATAATCTGGAGGTTAGCTGTGAATCTCTTTTCAGATCCCAAACAAATTCTCTGAGGGTCCATATGACCTGGTCCTGAGGGAAAAGATTCCAAATTCTCTTTTCCAACCCTGCCTCTCTTCAGTTTCCAGACTAGCTGGAGAGTACATCTAGGAGTTCAGGTTGATTGCTTCAGTTTATAAGTTGCAAAGGTCACACATGAGAAAAACCCCAGTGTCGTTTTAAAACTTCAAGCTTCTTAGCAACTGAGTCTACACTGTAGGCTTCAGCTATAACTCCTAGGAATATAGATTATTGAGCCAGTCCCTTGGGATCCTTAGTTCAGCCTAAACCAACTGGTCTTTTGATTGTTAGAGTATCAGAATCCTTTGTTCAGAAAATTCTGTCAGCAAAATATTTAGAGTTACAGAGGAAAATGTATGAAAATGTCTATTCCCAGATCTGGAAAGTTGTGTTACATCTTCTTTTAATGAATATCACCTGATCCCTCTACCTATTGATTCAAAACTCCGGGATAATGTCTCCCCTAAGAGAATTCGATGACAAAAATGTTCCTCTGAGTCCTCTGATGATTTTGTCTTCTCCCAACATATTCCTTGAGGTGCTTCCTTTTTTCCTTCCTTTCCTTCCTTTCTTACTGCTTTTAGGAGACTTACCTTTCCCTTGAATTCTGTCATCTTCTTACTGTTCTCAAGTCTAGACACTATCCCTACATTTAGAGACAGCTCTTTTGCAATATGGTCTCATATTATCTCTTCCCTAACATGCTTCAGTCTACTACTCTGATATACTCTTCTTCCTTTTCCTGGGATGCATTAACATTTACATTAATAGATCGGAAGTCCTGTTTCCGGCTCTTTATGTATAGGCTAATTCAATCAAATATAAGACATATATTATTTCCCCCAAATGTACTCAGTTTATGGGTGAAACAATTATAATTTAAAATATCAAACAATATCTCCAAAGCTAAACAGCTACTAAGTGACATGATCCCGCTATACCACACATCTGTCTAAATTGCAGGGTGTTGGCAACATTGTGCTACACTTCCTGAACCTCAGGCATAAAGTCCTTATTTTATGTTGGAGAAGCTGAGTCCACCATCTGAAAGCACTGCAGATAGGGATATGGTAGGACATTAGGAGCATGTTTTCCACTCTTCATGCTTTAAACTGCCTCCTCCTCAACCAGTCTTATGAGCTTCAGAGAATTACTTTACCTGCATTATAATAATCTTCAGATGGACTACCCCTGAGACATGTGGGGCAAGATTGAGGCACAATCGGGGCAAGATTGAGGCACAATCTGGGCAAAAATGAACTAGGTGATGCTTATCTCCAATACCTGCTTAACTCTGGTTTTAGTATTTTTTTTTTCGTCATACAAGATACCTCTTCATAAAACCAGGGCTTTAAGCTCCTTTGTGGCCAAGCTTGTCTTTCAAAATCGATAAAATGCTAAACCTGTTTCTCCTGCTTCCTCATCATTAAGACACTTATTAATGTTCTCAGCTAATACTTTCAGGTCAACATTATGAAATAAAGTCATTTCATATTTCATTCTGCACTGACCAGTCCTTAGCTATTTTTCCCTTGGATGGGATCCAATTAACTCTCTCCCTCTAATTATGTTAATATCTGGCAACAAAACTACTATATCATGTTTTCCAAAGTTATTGACATTTTATGTTTAGAAACAGTAGAAGAAGGGGTGTCAGGGTGGCTCAGTCAGTTAAGCATCCGACTCTTGATTTTGGCTGAGGTCATGATCTCACAGTGGGTTAGAGTGTCACGTTGGGCTCTGTGCTGACAGTGTGGAGCCTGCTTGGGATTCTCTCTTTCTCCTTCTCTCTCTGCCCCTCTCAAAAGAAATAAACTTTAAAAAAGAAAAAATAAAATATTTTTAAAAAGCAGCAGAAGAAAGAAATCACTAATAGTACCTTTTGGTCATTAGCCATAGTAAAAAGATTTGTTTTTATTATTTTACTTATTTACTTATTTTAAGGAAATGTCTTTGACACTTTACGAATACCCTAAAAAGAAATCTGACATTTCACTTCTGTGGAAGTCAGGCCCCCGATGGCAACTTTTCTTCCTGTCATTGTATTTTATGTGTGCAAATACACATGCAAGCTTATCCCATTTTCATTTTGTTTCAAGGATAAACTTCATCCCATAATTCATAGAATATTTTGCAGTTAATAAGTCAGGACTATTTGGAGGTGGAAGATAGAAAAGGGCTTTTCTTTGTATTGCCCTAAAATCATGTCACAGAGGCATAGTACCTCCTTCTTTTCCACACCCTGGGTATCATGGGCCTTTTGCCTAACATAAAGGATTTCATGCTTCAATTCTGTACCAGCTGATTTATCCATATGATGGTTGGAGATAATGTGATCTGGGCAGCAGAAACCCAAATGGACACTCTGATTAGATCTAAATTAATGAGTGAAATATGAAAATTTTAGCCATTATTTTCATAACCCACCCCTCAAATAACTGGAAATAAATATACATATGTTGGAAAAATAATATACATAACATCATTTCTTTTTTTAAAAATTTTTAAAAATATTTTTATTTATTTTTGAGACAGAACACGAGCAGGGGAGGGTCAGAGAGAGAGGGAAACACAGAATCCGAAGCAGGCTCCAGGCTCTGAGCTGTCAGCACAGAGCCCGATGCGGGGCTCGAACTCATGGACTGTGAGATCATGACCTGAGCTGATGTCGGACGCTTAACCGACTGAGCCACCCAGGCGCCCCAACTCATCATTTCTTATTGCCAGCATATATCTCATTACAAATATTAATTTTCAATAGAATTCTTCCCAGGTGTGTCCTAATACAAGATTCTCAATGCTACCTGGACAAAATGAATAATTTTCCCGGGATATGAGCAGTTTGTCAGGGGATCTCAAAGTATAGTTGCCACCACCTGGTGCTGCTGGTTATTTAAATAGGTAATTGAATTTAGTCATCCAGTGCTTGGTTAACAGTCAAGGGAAGAGAGATCAGTCTTTGATCAGTTGTCTTGAGTTAGAAGGAAAAGCCATAATGGGATGGACTTGGACAGCATTACAGAGTAGTTATCCTGAGTCTGAGGTTGCAAGTCATGTGTGCAGAACAAAGCAGAAGAACATGGACAAGTTTTAGAATGTGAAAACGTAGGTTGGTTGTCTTGTGGACTTCCAAAGCTGGCTGAGACATTGACAGGAGCAGAGTGTGATTTAAGCTGGGCATGGGATATGTGACTGCCGTAGCCATAATCCTCTGCATGTTCCCCATTTAATTCCTTATAGAGCCTTGTTTCTGTGATTCATTTCACTTTGCAAACATGCATTAGTTCCTTACCTTTTTTTTCTTTGTCACTGCATATTCCTGGAAAAAAACAAAGCCCATTTAATATCACATCTCTTTCTGTTCTATACATGTGCTTAAGCAGCTAAATATTACTGAGATAATCACATACTTGTTCATATTAGTCTCCAAATATCAAATAGGCAAATATATCACCAGTGAATCCTACTGCATTTCCTTAGTAAGTCTTCCACTTGATGTACCTGAGTTTTGTGTTCTTAGATCATCAAAATCCCTCAGCACTAAAAACACACACCATATACACACACAAATAGATAAGATGGATGATAGATAGATAGATAGATAGATAGATAGATAGATAGATAGATAAACAGACCGTGTTCATAATTTCATCTCACATTTTATCAAAAACTTTGCAAACAGTTGGAAATTCTCTCATATTTTAGCCATACAGTCTACCAAGCTAGCTGCCTTAGTCCCCACTCTCTTTACCTTACCTTTTATTTTCAACAGATAAAGGCCCCCTTCTCCTGCCTATAGACAAAATTACTTGTGCTCCTGGGTCATTGTCCCTTTCTCAAGGATTTTACTTCTGTTATTAACCTTTTATTCTGCCGCACCAACAAAATTTCTCTATTCCCACTGAATATACAAAATGTTCTTTGTGTTAATACCTATCTTAAAAATAAAAGAAGGGGACCTCTAGGGGCATAACATGAGGGCCTACAATATTACCTAAGGAACTGATAGAGGGATGGTGGGCTGTCATCCAAGAATATCAAATTTATTGTCATGATTAGGAAGTCAGCTTAGAAATATTTCAACATGGTTTCCAGTACATTTGTGAAATAATGTACATGAACAGGAAGGCTAAAGCATTAGGGGTAAATTGGAGGCACAAAAGGAGTTCTGATGTCTTTCTTTCTTGGATTCCCAGGGTAAATATTTTTATCACCATGAGAAACCACAGCATTGTCAGTGAGTTCATCCTCCTTATGTTATCTGCTGACCCTCAGACTCAAATTCTGCTCTTCATGTTGTTTCTGGTGATTTACGTCCTGACCCTGATGGGGAACCTGGTGATGCTGCTGGTGATTAGGACTGATTCTCACCTTCACATGCCCATGTACTTCTTTTTGAGACAACTGTCCTTCCTGGACCTCTGCCACCCAACTGTCACAGTCCCCAAGATGCTGGAGAATCTACTTTCTGAAAGCAAAGCCATCTTTGTAGAGAGCTGCCTGGCTCAGGCCTTCTTTGTGTTTGCCACCGGGGGCACGGAGGCCTGTCTGCTGGCTGTGATGGCCTATGACCGCTATGTAGCCATCAGCTCCCCTCTGCTCTATGGCCAGGTGATGAGCAACCAGCTCTGTGTTGGGATGGTGTGGGGTTCCTGGGGCCTGGCCTTTGTTGATGCTCTCATTAATATCCTCTTGGCTGTCAATTTAGACTATTGCGAGGACCAGACTCTTCCCCACTTCAGCTGTGAGCTGTCTTCTCTCTTCCCTCTGTCTTGTTCTGATACCTCGACCAACTTCACACTCTTGCTGTGCTCCTCTGTCTTGCATTTCTTTGGAACCTTCGTTATGATTGTTTTTTCCTATGTTCGCATTGTCTCCACCATCCTGAGCATCAGCTCCACGTCAGGCAGAAGCAAGGCCTTCTCTACTTGCTCTTCTCACCTCACTACAGTGATCTTGTTCTATGGCTCAGGTTTCCTCAGCTATCTCTTGCCAACCTCAGGCTCCCGTCTGGAGATGGTGTTCTTGAAATACAGCGTGGTCACTCCCATGCTGAACCCCCTTGTCTACAGCCTACAGAACAAGGAGGTGAAGACAGCTATGAGAAGAATATTAAGAAGATATGTTAATTCTTTCACATAGTGGACCAGAGAAACAGGACCATGGAGAAGCTAAACCATTTTGCCACAAGATATCTTATAACTGAAAAATTAAGGTTTCTCCCTTTCCTTTTCCTTTTCCTTTTCCTTTTCCTTTTCCTTTTCCTTTTCC